AACTAAAAAAAAAAAAAAAACTAAAAAAAAAAATAAAAATATTTCTAAATCCAGGAAACAAACAAATATGAGCAAGTAATAAGACACACATTCAGTTTCTTGAATACAGCCCAGCTCAACTTCCTGATCCTTTATAGTACAAGTGTGATACATCTCTTGATCCTTTATAGATCTATAAATGTGATATATTTTGAAACTTATGCCAAAGCTAAGGATATTGCTGTATCAGAGAAAAAAAAATTAAAAGAAAAAGCTATGGACACTTCTACAACAGAGAAATTTATCAAACTTAACTTCAGGAGTAAACAGAACTTTCCACTGTGCATTTTATTTATCAGATCATAAATAATATGGAGAGTAGCATAGCAGTTGATATTGCCGACACGTTCACAGACTTTACATTAATATTCCTGTGGTATACAACCTAATAAACAGATTTTTCTTATCATATGAGAAACAAAACATCACCACTAACTAAACCAATAATAAGTTGGATTTATACCAGATGAAAGATTAAAGATATGTTTCCAAACAAAAATTGTCCAGGTATCCTAATCCCACCATCAACTATGTCACTATTATTTTATCTTTCAGTGAAAAAAATAATGCTTTGGTTAATAAATTAAAAGAAAAAAATACTTTATGTTTCTTCATGGTTTCAGACAAAACAGCTGACATGCAAAAAAGATGGACTTAAAATCATGTTTAAAACTCATGTGTTGAGGAATATAAAATAATATTGTTGAGGAATATAAAACTTCATTGTTGAGGAATATAAAATAATATTTTTGAGGAATATAAAACTTCATTGTTGAGGAATATAAAACTTCATTGTTGAGGAATATAAAACTTCATTGTTAAGGAATATAAAACTTCATTGTTAAGGAATATAAAAATTCATTATTGAGGAATATAAAACAATACAACCTTTTGTAAAAAAAATGCCAATACTAGATAAAGGCTGAATTGTATCGTGGTAAAATCTAAACTAAAGGATTCCACTTTCTATCTATAAATAATTGTAATGATAAAAAAAGATGAAAATGGGCCAATAATAAGTTTTATTTTTTTTGTCAAAGAGTCATTAAAATGAAGCAATAAATGTCTACATCTCTTTTTCATATGCTAATTACGTTCCTGAAATATCTTAGAAAATTAATGAAGTTTCTGAAATTAAAAAAATAAAATAAAATTGAACTATGATGACAAAAACAATATTCAAATTAGAGAAGCTTATAAAAGAAAATAATATCAGACATGGTATAAATGTATTGGGGAACTGTTTTCTGTTTTAAAAGTGATAAGTTTAACAAATAACATTCTATGTTCAATTAGTCAAAAAAAAGTATCTTAATTAAAAAACTTTCAAACCCTGTTAAGGTTTAAAACATACAAATTCTTACCTCTGTACCATTCCACAGATACAGAACAACTGTAGAGGAAGATGTCATTTTTAGCTTCAGTGCCATTTTTTTAGTAGTTATGATGCCAAACCCAAGCCTCCTGGTAGGATCTGAAAAAAAATGTAAGCCTGTTTTTAATACATAATATTTGTTAAGGATTTGATATATTTTAAAACTGAATGACATCTTATGCAACTAATAGGCTAAACTGCCACATCAGAGACTTCTTAAGTGCAGACACAACTATTTTAAGTCAGTAAGCAATAATGTCTGTCACATTCATAATATCTTCACAGCTGTAAGTGTGGAATATTCAGTGGTACATTACTGTTTAAATCTTTATAAACTTTTATCAAAAAAATTTTATTTATGAATTTAACACATAATTCTAAAAGAATAGAATATTGGTATTCAAAATACCAAATCTTATAAAATGAAAGAAATACATCCAAAAATATTTAGATAATAATAAAAAGTTTCCAATATCTGTAAATCTACATAAATAATTAACTTTAGATTTTAATAACCATTTACAAACACCAAGAATCATGCACACTGCTCATGGTGTAATAGTCTTTTTGATATCATATTCGCTTTTAATTTTCAGTAGAAAAAATGCTTAATTTTTGTAAGAATTAAGAATGTGTTTGTTTGTAATTAAGCCCAAAGCTACACAATGGGCTATCTGTGCTCTGCCCACCACAGGTATTGAAACCCGGTTTCTAGTATTGTAAGTCTGCAGTCATACCGCTGTGCCACTGGGGAGCTTAACTATGTGAATCAACACTAGTTTGAATTCACATTCAATTTATTCATTCCCACAAAGGATTGATGAGATCACTGATGTCGAACAAAACATTTTAAAGCAGAATGTGTAATCTTCCCAGAAATTATTTTGATATATATTCAAAGATTTTGGGTCACTTAAGTCTCAACAGTTAACTTTCTAAAACATGTCATTTTTAATAATCTTTTCTTACCTCTTTTTTGTATTATTGCAACGTTAATCAAAATAATAATTTTAGAAAAAGTCTGAAGCAACATCATGAACTAACCCCAGAGCACAACGGTAAAAAACACTAAAAACTAAATACAAATATACAAAAAAAAATGTGTATTTCATGTGTAAGTTACAACATTTTCAATATACTATTTTTATACAGTAAAAACAATGAAATTCTCAACTTACTACTAAGAATATAATAGCAAACTAATACATATAATAAGACAGAAAAACTCTGATGGATTTTTCCATTTGTCTATAACTAAATCCCTGTCTATCTGCATTTGTAACTAAAAATAAACATAAAAAGCTACGAATATCACGCAGTTCACTTTCACTAAACATTCTAAAATCATTAAAAACTTCATTCTATTTACACGTAGGTATTATATCTCAATCTTTATTGCAGCAGCATTTCAGAAAAAAATAAGTCTTATCATAAAAATTAACAGTTTCCTTACCCAAAAATGTATTTTAGATATTTATCTCTCTGTACAACAAAGAACTATTAACTTGCACCACTACTGTGGAAATTTCTGTGCATACCACAAGCCTTGAATGAAGCTCCCACCCCTAAACGTATTAATGTATTGCACCAGCTTATGATGTCATCATCCTTCAACTATAGCCCTTCACCAATAGCCAATAGGAGAACAACATATCTTCCATGCACAGTAATCAACATCAGCACAAGCATTAGAACATAAGCTCATTCTAGATGAGACAAAATAAATAAATAAGAAATGGGGAGGAAGAGTGGGAGGTTGTGCAGAGAGGGGAGTAACTATCTGAAATGCACTTTCAGGTAAGGAAATTGTCAACTTTAGAAACCTTTCCTCATATCTGTACACGACAAAGAGCTAGAGCTCCTTTCTAGGAATATCATTAAATTCAATACAAGTTCTTCTTCATTAAATAAAACGTCATCTTACAATCCTCTTAAAATAATAATCTGGCTTCCAGCATCCAGACAATACTCTTTAAAATAAAATTAACAAGCAGGTGTGTTTTTTTAATTTTTGTTACATTCAGTAAGACAAACCACATCCAAAACTTGACAACTTTAATAATTTTAGAATTACATTTTGACACAACAGTCCTACTAAAGTCATCACAAGTGCTAAGTACGTTCATAAAAGTCTGGAAAACATAACTGTTCTCTTGAAGGGAAAGTTCTCACTAATTCAACCTGAAAATACTGGTCTAAATCAAAGCCTCATACTTGAATTAATTTTCATAGTATCAAGCTACTAAACAATCATCAGTCGTTATACAAATAGTTTTAATTATATTTATTTACTTTCTAACATTGAGCATAAGTAGATTCTCTTTATAAAAAATACAGTACATAATTAATTATAAGTTACAACAGAAATATTGTTTGTTTGTTACGGATTTGGCGCTAAGATAGCCGTCCCTAATTTAGCAGTGTAAGACTAGAGGGAAAGCAGCAAGTCATCACCACCCACC